CGAAATCCTCGTGTTCTTATGCAGTTCGGATTCGCGCTTTTACGCCAAAAGATTCGGAGTACCTACGAATCATTACAGGAAAACCCTCCAGGATTACAATGTACGGCCTATTTCGGATGTGTACGACGTCCTGATTGAGGCCAGGGGCACCTGAAACACGAAGTTTGCACAGTTTGTGCGTTTCTGCTGCAGAAGGTGTGCATGGCGGGGGCGCTGCGAGGACCGCCTTATACAATCGAGCAGACTATTTGGTACGTGGTGAAGATGCAATACAGGTTTCAAACAGACAGCATGTACAATCAGCTGGAGGACGTGTGTGTAAGCATTTTGAATTTGTCTTTGATGGAAGTGCCACCTGGCAGCCCACTCCTAGGACCCGAAATTTTACTCGCTTCTCTCGATGAGTATCATTCGCGTTTGTTCGCGAATTATTACAAATGGTGCGACTACTTGGGGGCTGAGCCTTTCCCCTGGAGGTCTCCCCCGTGGCTCGACGACAGCTTTTGTGCACAGGACACTTCCGTGGCAGCGGGCGAGGCTGCCGACAGCACAGGTCAGCTGCGTAGAACGGCTAGTGAAACGGATGAAAAGTAACAGCAACATGTTCATACTTCTAGCAAATAACTGCCCCTGCACCAGCCGTTTCTTTTCTGCAGGGAATCCAACAGCGAAAAATTGTTCCTCACAGATGCGTCAAGATATCCAGCAGATGATGTTTGAGGTCGCCACGTTTAAGCTGCTTTGGGCAGAGGCGGCAAACCTTCGCCACACACCTGAGCTCCTGTGCTGGCTGTTTCACTGGCTTTGTATGGCGTGGGAAAAGAAGTACAGACCTGAAGAGGATTTCGTCGATCTGATCCGCGACGTTATTCAACGAATTCGGGATGAACAATGGTAACTCTGAAGATCACCAATACCCAATGCAGATCCCCTCCATATTCAACTGGCGCAGTATTTATGCCTTATCTAGTAAGCATTGCCATTTTGCATGAAATGTGAGCTTCTGATGTGCCACTTATATTCAATTTAGGTACATGGCATCCTCTCTGCGCACCCCTGACCACAATGCACGACTGATCTACGACGACTTCAACGAGTTGTTTTGGAGCCGCCAGTGCCTCGACATCCTTCACCGATTCACCAAAGAGACGGAGGCTTCTGCACAAGAAATAGCACAGACAGTTCAAGTGATACATCCTTCAGCTGACACCGAGCCGTTTTCAGACCATCAGCTTGCCTCAAAGCCAATCCAAAAGCCACAACCCAAGAACTGTCCAATGGGACTGTCCGTATCCCGTGAAAGCTTGAACGCTGTAGTAGCTGAACTCTCCTCAGCGTCAAAGCCTGGATCTGGAATCAAAACTTTCGTAGAGCACAGAAGTTACGCACAAGTGAGGCTTACCCAGTGCTTTTGCAGGCCAGCCTAGCTTCA